AAAAAAAAAAAAAAAGAATTTAGTCTCGAATACAGACTATATCAAGAGTTTTGAAATCAAAAGTTTAATTTAATTTTGAAAATTTTCTCAAAATGTATCTCGTTTCATCTTGCAGTATTATGATCATTCTACATTCTTGAAATTCCATGACTTAATTCTTATAAAAGGCCTATTTAGTGATTATTATCAAACAATACAACTGTTCTTTTTTTTGTTCAAATATTGTAATAGAAACACTTGCTTCTATCGTCCACTCTTAACAGCCACTGTATGTTGAACTGTATGTTGTATGTACATTCTTCTGTGTTACACAGGTATGGAACGACTTAAGGGACAGAATTTCTATCTTTGGGTGAACTATATCTTTAACACCACTATGGTGGACCTCACATTACAGGAAACATACCTATTCACACATGATCTCACCAGAAGATTCATGAGAACAGTGCAAAACACTATCCTATCCAATATAACAGCATTCACTTAAAGTGGCGTCTATCAGCACTTATCTGTGTCTAATCCTCCACACAGACTGAAATATGAACAGATACTCCTAATGCGTTCCCTTCTTCATCTATATGCATTTAACGGGAACGCTCGGTGACATTTTAATTCGGGTATTCATGTATCTGCCAGAATATCCCAGTTCTGTCATTTTTTAAAACGCATTAAAAGGCATCATTAAACACTCTCCTAATATTCTCTCAGATTTGTCGTGTGTTCAGAGTAATCAATAAGGAATTATGTAATGAAAATTCATTATGCTGTCACGTGATTTCAGCAAATAATAAATGAATGACTTTGTGGGACCTGGGGGACGCATGCTCTGCATATTCAATGCACAATGAGTAAAATAAACAGCATCATAAAAAAAGCAAGCTGCTTTTTGTTTCTGAAAAACTTTCCGTGTCTATTCCAGTTTTTCATAACTGGATTTAAAAAAAAATGGCAATGGCCTCAATTACACTGGACAAGTTTACTACAAACTACAAGTTTATTATAGTGAACTACAACTAAAACCATTAAAAAACATTTGCACTACTTGAAATAAATGTTACTGAAATTGAATATAATATTTAAAAATACTTATTTTATATTGGCAAGTTGCCAAAGCAAAATTTCTCATTTTCATTTAGTTGGATGTATTAAAAGAACTAAAACTGAAAAATAAAAAATCTAGAAATATATATATATATAAAAAAAAAAACTACAAAAAAGACAAAAAATACACAAAATTACTAAAACTAAATTTAAAATTAAATATAATTAATTAATTTAATTAAAAACAGACAATTCAAAAATAAAAATGTATAAAAAAGAAGGATAGTAAAATCTAGTTATTCCTAACTGTGTTTTAAAAAAGCCTCAGCTATATTGAATAAGTATGAAATAAGAATAAGTAATATTTCCTTGAAAAAACAATAAATGTTAAATGAAATATAAAAAAAACTTTAAAATGTACACAGTTTTTTTATTTCAGATAAAAAAGCTAGAAATATAAAAAACAAATAATAATAAAATAACTAAAAAAAGACAAAATTACTACAAATTAAATGTAAAATTTAATGTAATTAATTAATTTAATTAAAAACGGACAATTCAAAAATAAAAATTAATTAAAAAAAGAAGGATAGTAAAATCTAGTTATTCATAACTGTGTTTTAAAAAAGCCTCAGCTATATTGAATAAGTATGAAATAAGAATAAGTAATATTTCCTTGAAAAAACAATAAATGTTAAATGAAATATAAAAAAAACTTTAAAATGTACACAGTTTTTTTATTTCAGATAAAAAAGCTAGAAATATAAAAAACAAATAATAATAAAATAACTAAAAAAAGACAAAATTACTACAAATTAAATGTAAAATTTAATGTAATTAATTAATTTAATTAAAAACGGACAATTCAAAAATAAAAATTAATTAAAAAAAGAAGGATAGTAAAATCTAGTTATTCATAACTGTGTTTTAAAAAAGCCTCAGCTATATTGAATAAGTATGAAATAAGAATAAGTAATATTTCCTTGAAAAAACAATAAATGTTAAATGAAATATAAAAAAAACTTTAAAATGTACACAGTTTTTTTATTTCAGATAAAAAAGCTAGAAATATAAAAAACAAATAATAATAAAATAACTAAAAAAAGACAAAATTACTACAAATTAAATGTAAAATTTAATGTAATTAATTAATTTAATTAAAAACGGACAATTCAAAAATAAAAATTAATAAAAAAGGATAGTAAAATCTAGTTATTCATAACTGTGTTTTAAAAAAAGCCTCAGCTATATTGAATAAGTATGAAATAAGAATATGTAATATTTCCTTAAAAAAAACAATAAATGTTAAATGAAATATAAAAAAAACTTAAAAATGTATAAAAAAAATTTTTTTCAGATAGTTGCCAACTTGACTTGATGTACTAAAAATTCATAAATTATTTAAACAACAACAAAAACTTGAGCAAAAACTGCATATATATATATATGTATGTATGTATGTATAGCACACAACAAATTTACTAAACTAAAATTAAAAACAAAGTATATTAAAAAAAACTAGTAGTGATTGATTGATTCTAAAATAACATAAAATCCAGTTGTTCATAATTGGATTAAAAAATGATACAGATTGCACCCACAAAGAGCAATTTCTAGCCAATTAAATACAATGTGCATAACTAGAAAATGTGTATGTATTTTTTTACAATTAATTCCTATTATTTTCCAGGCCATGACATTCCCAGGTTTTCCTGAGTCATGGGAATCCTGCAAGATTCTCTGTGACATTTAGCATCTGAATACTCACCAACTTAAAGGTCAATACTTTATAGGTAATTGGGTCTTCTACAATCTTCTGTAGGTTAGCAGCCACTGGGAAAACACATATAGAAAAAGATACTGACATTAGAACTGAGCGATATAGCTAAACAAACGATATCTGGATATGCAGTATCTCAGCATTCATGTATTTGCTCTGAAATGCCTTGAAGCAGGGGTCTTGAACTCAAATTGCCCTGAGGGCTACTAGCCTAATTGTGTGTAGCCATGAATTTTAACCACATGCATTAATTGGTGCAGTTATATCATTACTGATGCATGGCCAGATCTTTTCAGAGCAGAGCGACTCATCTGTATACCTAGCATATTGCTCTCAATGTTTAGTGAACTAATGACCCCTGGAATTGTTTCCTTTTGCAATTTTCTCCTTGCAGATGAAGCCAGTATGAGCTCCATTACAAAACCAGAAGCATCACGAGCTGCTGTAATGGTCAGAAGTCATACAGATATATATTAATATTTATATACTATTTTTTAATATTCAAATATTAACATAAGAAAATATTTATTAAAACATACATTTAAAAATACCTATTATATTATGTCGACCTTCAATGCAATGTAAGTCACCTTAGACTCTGCCAAATGCATAAATGTATAGTATATGCAGTATTTAAGAACTCAAATGCACAGCAATCAATTCAAACATATGTTTTTTGTAAATAAAAGCTTTGCATTTCAGGCATACAGGCAAAATAAAGTTGCTGCACTGAGACTGTAACTGATAATACAGGGTTTCTAGAAATAACTTTTACTGTACCTTCTGAGCACACTGCTAAAAACTGATGCTTTTCTTAGTATTTTGTCTTGTTTTCCAATACAAATGTCTAAAGATCCTTTAATCAAAACATTTTTTGAGAAGTAAAATTACATAAGAGGTCTGGTTTTCTAAGAATTTGATCAAATTGAAGTGAGTTTATGAATATGAACAAGAACAAATATGTGCGAATGAGCTCAGAAAACTCAACTTAATTCAAAGGAAAAACAAGTTTTCATATTTCATGTTGTAAGCATAAAATATTTCATGTTTTAAGCATTATAACCAATTTTGTTCAGTTTCTCAGAAAACAAGACTTCATGTATAGTATATGCAGTATTTAAGAACTCAAATGCACAGCAATCAATTCAAACATATGTTTTTTGTAAATAAAAGCTTTGCATTTCAGGCATACAGGCAAAATAAAGTTGCTGCACTGAGACTGTAACTGATAATACAGGGTTTCTAGAAATAACTTTTACTGTACCTTCTGAGCACACTGCTAAAAACTGATGCTTTTCTTAGTATTTTGTCTTGTTTTCCAATACAAATGTCTAAAGATCCTTTAATCAAAACATTTTTTGAGAAGTAAAATTACATAAGAGGTCTGGTTTTCTAAGAATTTGATCAAATTGAAGTGAGTTTATGAATATGAACAAGAACAAATATGTGCGAATGAGCTCAGAAAACTCAACTTAATTCAAAGGAAAAACAAGTTTTCATATTTCATGTTGTAAGCATAAAATATTTCATGTTTTAAGCATTATAACCAATTTTGTTCAGTTTCTCAGAAAACAAGACTTCTTATCTTCATTTTGCATGTCAAGGCATCTTGATTTAAAATTTTTATATGCAACATTTCTTGCCATAACTATGAATTTAAGACTTTCTGCTCTGATTCAAGACCTTTTAAGATCTTCATTTGTGGAACAGCGAATTAAGACTTCTTAAGATCTTTTTAAGGCCCAAAGAAACCCTGTATTACAGATGAACGAGGCAGTGCATTGGAGTTTAATGCACATGCAACTTACCCACAACCACATCATGACCATTGACCAGACCAGCAGAGAAGAGCTCCTGAGAAACTCCATCAGCAGTGTCTGAGGAGAAAAAACAACACAGCATGATATCACAGCAAGAAACCTGTCAGAACACAAAGTTAAAAGCATGTTCTGCCAAACCCACGCACAAAAACATCAACAAGCAAGTCGCAATGGCCTGGACTGCAGTGAACACGTCAGATCTCGAGCTGGGCGGTGCGACGCCATGCAGCAAGCAATGATAGAAAGAAAGCAGAGTTTAGTTGTTTATGGTTTACAACTTCTGCCACTTTAAAATATAATCAACTGATGCGCAGTCAAACTTCAAATGAGTCTCTAGACAGACAGACAGACAGATAGATAGACAGACAGACAGACAGATGGATAGACGGACGGATAGACAGACAGACAAATAGATAGATATAGATAGATAGATAGACAGACGGATAGACGGACAGACAGACAGATAGATAGATAGATAGACAGATAGACAGACGGATAGACAGACAGACAGACAGACAGACAGACAGATAGATAGATAGATAGATAGATAGACAGACAGACAGACA